GAGAATGACAGAGAATCAGATGGGCTTCTGTACAGTTCAGTGCATAATTTTAGAGACCACGGGAGCGCGTGCCGAGGCGCGTCGCTGCGCCTTTTGGTGGCTGCACGGCTTTGTCCGGGAGCGCGTACTGCGCACGCTCGTCCCATATCACCCGGCAGCCTGCCCTTTCGCTCGTTTCAACCGCGCGCATCTAGAAACGATGCGGACGGTGCAAAGTGTCACTTCTGTAGTCGCTGTGAACACAATGAGAAAAGTCGAGCGCAAATGTGACGACAGCACAACATTTGCGGGTTTCGGCGTGCTGCACATAGTGCATGTTACTCCTAGGCGATCCGCGGCGTGATCACATTTTGAATGTCGAGTTAGGCAATCAATAATCTCAGCCAGCAGTGCTGCCTTTTGCGCTTTCATTCACCGAACTAGCGCTTGTAGTAATACTCGGTCCAAATATCATGTGTCTATTAATATGCATGAAACCACCAAGCGTACAAAAGCTGCAGAAAAGAGCCGAGGAAGAAAGGTGAAAGCAAACTCGGTTTATTAAGGATCAATCCTTTATTGAGGCCGCTGCGGTGGTGCAGTGGTTTCGATGCTCGGCTGCTGACCCAAAAGTCTAGTCCCGCATGCCGTATTTCGATAGAGGATAGATATTGAAACTAGTATACTGAGTGGATGTTAAAGATCCCCGAATGAGCAAACATTCCCAAGACGTTACTTTGGTGGAGCTCTATGTCATATCTATATAATAAAATTTATTTCTCTCTCTATATCGTGGTTCTGTCACGTCGAGAACCCGCACTTATTATTGGTAGGAGTCGAGCCTTGACCCAAGAGTTTCTAGGATTCGAATTTCAGATATTCATGTGTCGTCTTCTACTACTAGGACCATAAACCCCGATTGAAGTCAACCCATTAATTAGACGCATTATAGTAGATTAGGAGAGGTAAGCGTGATATAATGCGGATTAAGACGTGCTAGAGATGTCATAGGCTTTCACTTTCGAGTCTTTTTATATTTGGGGGTATCTTTCCTGGATAGCAGTTATAGCTATCGTTTTCTTTTTTTTCTCGCCCATAAGAATAAACTGTTTATTCATCGCGTTTCCTGGCAATTCATTCTGGATGTGCGATATTCAGGGGTTTGCTGCATACCACTGCACGCGCGATATTCACACCATGATTGATATGTGGGGTTTAACGTCCCAAAACCGCCATATGATTATGAGAGACGCCGTAGTGGAGGGCTCCGGAAATTTAGACCACCTGCGGTTCTTTAACGTGCACCCCGATATTCGCACCAAGAAATGGAGCCGCCATAACGTCTCCGACACAGAGCACAAAATTTTATCACTGCAAGATGAGCATATCACGCAACTGCGTTTGAGAAAAGCTGAGAAACTGCATATTTTCCGGGCTGCATCAAGGAAGAAAGCGTATTGCATGGCGCACTCGAGCTAGCTATTACATTAGAGGCATTTTCGCTGCTATATTATTGCTCGGGAGTACCTGTGCTTGCACAGCGACTGCAGAAGTGGCACCTTGCGCCATTCGCATCGTTTCGAGATGCGCGCGGTTGAAACGAGCGAAAGGGCAGGCTGCCGGGTGATATGGGACGAGCGTGCGCAGTATGCGCTTCCGGACAGAGCCGTCAGAAGGCGCCAGAAGGCGAAGCGATGCGCTTCGGCATGCGCTCACGTGGTCTCTAAAATTATGCACTCGACTGTACGAGACGTCAATACCATCAGATGCCTGACCAAGGGACAAAAAAGTCCATAAACGCGTTAGCAAGACCAACCCCTTTTATTCAATTGCTTATGTTAGCACTGTCATAGTTCTTTCAAGCGCGTTCCAGTTATCGAAGCGTGTGTCCTCCAAATTTAATCAGAGCGCCTTGCAGTCGAGTTTAACAGATTAAAATGATAGAGCTTTTTAGCATCTCTTACTGTTTTGTGACGTAGTTTCTTTATTCTTTGAATGTTTTTAATGCTTCCGGTGGTTTAGTTGGGTTAAATAAGCTGTATAACCTCTTCCTCTTTTTTATAAGCTTGAGCAAGCGCCTATATATCCACAGATAACGACATCTTTTTGTCTGTTTAAAAGTTTGCATCGGAGAAGATGCGGAATACATTTCCCTAAATATTTGCATAAACTTGTCAAAAGCCTCATTTGTACTTTTTTTCTTTGTGCACATTATTCTATGTGACCCTGACAATACGTTCTCGAAACGCAGACAAAATGTTAGAGTTTATGCGCCGATAAGAGAGCGCTTGATGTACATGTTTGTTACTCAACTGCAGTAGCAATGAAGAAAACACAGGTAAGTGGTCACTAATGGCATAAACCAAAACACATGGTTTTACAGAAGGCACATCAAAACTAGTCATGAACAAGTCTAATGCAATTTACACGTTGCCGTTGTTGATGTTATATTATTCTGACCGAGATGAATGTTTAAGAGAGATTATATTTCTAATTCCACCTTTTTCTGGGTAAGCACATTTATATTCAGGTCCCCTCCAAGAACTATCTGCTAAATGTTACTGCTAAATTCTAGCAAAGAATCTAAATATGATAAAAAGAGCAGATAATTTCCCGATGGGGGCCTGCAGCAGACGTAAAATATCATATTGTTCCATTTAACTACGACAATGTAATAGTGCTGATTAGTACAACGGAATTCCGAAAGAAGCTCAAAGTTGAATGATTCTTATATCAGCATTAAAACGCCTCCCCCACGTCTATCTCGACGGTTTATGTAAAAAGGTTTGTAACCGGGAAAGCTATACACATCATCTTCTGAAGCAAAGCACGTTTCTCAAAATATGACAACACCAAATCTACATTCTGTTCCACCGAAAAAGCAATCAAGTTCATCTTATTTTTACCAGATCTCAGGCTGCAATGTATACAACTATAGCGATTCGAACCGTGACTTTGCATGATGGCATCCAAGTCCGAGAAATTTACTCGATCCATGAAAAACAACTCGCATAAGAAGAAACGTTTGCTATAAAATTTCAAGTGCTGGACAGTTGATCAAGGTCAGTCGTAGATCGCGTGACACCTGCAGGCTCGTTCTCATTCATTCGAACAAAGATTTTCCAGTTCGCATGGCATGCGAAGCAACAATCATTTGCACCTGTTTATTCTTTCACGTCGCGCAGCAATTTCTGGTTTTGCCGGGTCATGTTTTAGATTGAAACATTAGGATTAATGTTACGTAGGACTTTGCGTTTTTTATGCATGTTTCGCGGGGAGAGCTGTAGAAATTGGACGATAATTCCAGGTACTTTGCCTTGCCGCTAAGGCAACCTATGTACCACCTCTACATCAGTAGGTACCAGCTGTGACGAGTTAACGGACTTTGCTACATTATTTAGCTTTCTGGTGAGATTTTCGCTATTGGTGACTGGTATTCTAGGCACTTCAACGTTAGGCCTCCTGCTGCGCCATTCAAGGTCATTTATAAAGGCACCAAGTTGCTGAATTTCACTTGACTTTGAATTCTGTTCAAGCTTGGTTACTTTCTTCTTCAAGCTAGTTTTTTTTTCTGGGCAGTTTGAAGACTCAGTATATATCATCGTATTTTTGAGACAGTAGTTGGATTGAGGCTTTTACGTTGTCGACCTGCTGTGGCAAGCTGCTAAGCGTGTGTAACTTACGAGCTATCTCTGCCAAGGCGACTGGAAAGTCGGTATCTATCGTCTGTCCTTTCGCTGCAGAAGCTTTTGGCACCCTGCATATCACACATCGCCCCGTCCTACGCCCACTGTCGCCTTTACTTCTATAGGAGACTTCACTGCAGCCGGAACAATCTCCGAGATGGTAGTCGTACTCACATTCAGAGCACTTCATGCAGCGGCCATCTGCGAGAAGGGAGTCGTTGCAGGACCGGCACTGCATCATCATTCGCCCACCAAGTATACACGCAGCGCAAAAGAGTATGAAAACGCCACAGCACTTGACACCATAAGAAGTAACACGGCGGCAACGGAAGTGCTGGTGGCACAAAATACATGGTAAGACAAGTTTTGTTAGCAATTAACCCGAGTTTGCAACCTGCAAAAGGTAGAATAAAGATGTAGGGGGGGGGGGGGGCGTCCTTTTACTACCACCGTCACCGCCCGTGTGAGCTGGGTCAGATGACCGTCACAAGCGCAGCGAGCACAGCCAAGACGAAAAAAATCTATTTGTGACGTGAGTGCCGGCAAGAATCCTTGAAGCTGGCACAGCACTTTAGCGTTGCGTCTTGGATGAGTATTAAAAACACACATTTATTGTTGCGTCGAAAAGCACTAGGTAACGACGCTTATCAACACCATGCGGTCAGGTAAGCGGAGTCGCCCACAAACCTGCAACGGATAGAATAAAAATGCAAGGGGGGGGGGGGTGCCCTTCCATCACCGCCCGCGTGAGCTGGGTCAACTTGACCATCACGCGCGCCGCGAGCACGGCCGAGATGAACAAACTATTCGTGACGTAAGTGCGGGCAAAAACCCTTGAAGCCGGCACAACATTTGTGCTTTGCGTCCTGCAAAGGGCAGAATAAAAATGTAAGTGGGGCGTCCTTCCACCACCGCCATCGAGTTTGCTCCAAACTCGCACTGTGGCGACCATGGCATTAAGTAGACGAGGTGCCGATCGCGTGATAGCATTGATAAATATGGCTACTGGAACGCACGTGGCATAGGAAAGGGATGTGGGACATTTGCGGCGGCTAGCAAAGAAACACCGTGTGTGAACACGTCAGCGCCGCCACTCAGTCAACATTTTTAACACTGCAGCGACGTCAGCGAGATTGTAGCGCTTTTCTTTTTTTGCCAACTCAAGACGTGCCTCCCAGAGGCGTGATCGTCAGCGTATGCCCTCTTTCACACAGGTTCTTTCATTTCACCTGCAGCATAGAAATTTCCACTCTCGAAGGCAGGAAGGCTCCACACGCAGCACATTCGTGCTGTTTGTTTTGCTTCCATTAAGTAACGCAGATCAATTCTAAGAACAAGTGGTCCCCAAGGCCGCTCGCATCATGGTGGCAGCGTGGCTGTCATTTTAGAGAGTAAGAGCTAAGCGGCTCAGCGGGTCCAGCGGAGCAGCGGAGATGCCAGCTGCGCATGCGCGGCACGCCGGGGCAGCCAGCGTCTTTGCGGAGAGAGTCGCTCACCCGCTCATTTTGTCTCCTCAGCGAAGCGGGCGCAGCGGACGAGCGTGTTCAAAATGGCAGCCCCCAACACAAGCGGCGGCGGCATGCCTTCGGCGGCGCTTGCAAGCGCTGCGCAGGCTCAGCTGCTGGCGAAGAGGCCCCGGCGGGGTTTTACTGCTGAAGATGACCTGGCAGTTTTGAGGGAAGTGTCAGCGGTGAAGCTCTTTGGTGACAATTTACTGTGGATCCGTATGATTGGCAGCTTAAAACCTGTGCTCGGCCGGGAGACTACTCTCAGAAGTCTAAAAGATCGTGTAGATCTTTTAATTGGTTACTGGAGGCAAGAAGACAGTAGGAAATTAAGAAGGTAAGAACCAATTTTCATGTATTGTCCGCGCAGATAGCATTTAATCCCGCGCGAGAGCTGTCCAACGTGCACGGCAACGCCGGCGAGGCTCAAAGCCGTTCGCGCCTCCGACAAACATAGTCGCACTGTCAAAAGGAAACTCTGGTCGTTCACGTCGAATCTATCAAGTGGCCGCCGTGCGCTCTGTAGCTTGTAAGTTCCGAATTGATGCTTACACTCACTTTAGATTCATTTCCCTAAGCTTCGACAGCAATGTATTCGTCCCGATTCGGCATCCTTTTTGAGAGCCATCGCCGTGCCGCTAGCGTGAGCGGGTATTCAGAGACTTGTTTTAGAGTAAAGCAAGCCTCCTGTAACATACTCGCATTTCGCTTTGCAGGTCGGGAACGGAGGAACAATACGCCAAAAAAGAGCAGATACTGCAGGACCTGTCGGAATATACAAGGTCTATAAATTATGTCCTCAGAATAGCACCTAGAAGTTCAAACAGCTCTGGCCGCAAAAGAAGTCACGCAGCTGCGTCCTGTCTGGCGACGCTGCCAGAACAAGTTCGTGCAGATGGAGAACAAGGTGAGTGTAGCAGTAAAGCCTCATATCTCTGAAATCGATATATTGGTTCTACGATCATAGACATGTGTACGCAATATCTTGCGACACTTCAGGTATCTCGCATTCTATAACGTGCTTGCATAGTTGCAACCATTGAAAAAAAATGTTGCACTTTTTCTGCCCTGCCTGCCAACTCTATTGATTCGCATAGTGAGAGCAATGAAAATCAATAGTATGCAGTGATCCCGAGAAGCAGGTGCATTATCATGTATCAACCTAACACATTAATGAAGTTGTCAATCCATGGACTTGCATAACGACAGTGTGCATTGTTCATTTGTGGTTTTGAGTAAAAGTAAGTCTGTAATAGTTTGTTTTACTATTTAACATTACCTAGAACATGCAAAGTAAACTTTCAAAGTGCGATTCGCATGTGAGCCCACAATATTCATTCATTACATTAGTTAGCGATTTGGATGGCTATGTGTTATTGTAATACAAGAAAGTTAATCTCTACTGGGGGTTCCCAATGTGCCAGAGTTGTAATGGAATGTGCTAGTGGGCTATTATGTGACACCTCCCTGTTTTCTATTATGCATTACAATCAGGACATGCTGCACAACTCCTGCTCTCAATGACCACCCCGCGCAGTCCTGCTACTGTTGAACTCTCTGGAGAGCCGTGCAATGAGGAGGAGGAGGAATAGCAACACCACCACCAGCAGCAACAACAACAGCAGCACCAGCAGCAGCAACAACACCAGCAGCAGCAGCAAGAAGAGCAGCGGCAGCCACAACCACCGCCTGCAGCTAAGCAACGAGTTCCTGTAACGGCGAGTAGAGGTAAATTTTGAAGGACTCCTTATTCACGTCGTAACATGGTACAATATTGCCACAAGGTGCAGTACAAATAGGCAACATGATGTTTCTGTAGAGTCTAGAACATTGGACTCCCTGGTTTCACTATATGCAAGACCAACTAGCCCAATACTTTACATTCATTGCTAGAACACTGGTAGCATGTGAACATCACATTTAAAATGAACATTGAGTCAAGAACATTGGGCTTCCTGGTTTCACTATATGCAAGACCAACTAGCCCAACACTTTACATTCACTGCTAGAAGCAAGGTACTACAAGCAAGGTGAAAAGAATGATGGCTTTCTTTACCACGCCTAAGTGGGAGTTTTGGATGAGGTTAGCATACGACAACTGGAAACTTTGACCCTCTCTTTACATTGAACACTTGTAAATAGCGGTAACTGAACAGTTTTTCTTTTGTCGTTACACGAAATGTCAAGATCCTAGCAACTGCTGCGATGTTATCAATCTTCGGGGATCACCCTGCTGAAGCACAAAATAGATTATCACTAAATGATGTGCGATAGCATAGAGTTGAAGGCTGATACGTTTGTGTTACGAGTCCATCAAATTAGCTTTCTATGACATGTGATATGCGTATGTGAACTGACTTACTGAATGGCCTCATTTTGCAAAATTTGCAGGAATCAGAGGCCTGCAAAGCATGGGCTTACAATTGTTGACTATGCATCAAACGCATGAATTTGAGATCCGGCAAAGGAAACTTGCCGTTGAAAACAGAAAATTGGACATTGAAGAGAGACGACTAGCTCTGGAGGAGCGCAAGCTGGCACTTGCCGAAAAAAAAGCATGAACTTGAGGTTACAAGTCGCCAGCAGGAACGCCTGGACTTTGTGAAGCACGTGGAAGAGATGTTCGATAAACTCAGCCAAGAAGTAACAGACCTAAAAATAAAAATGTCTGGAAGCAGTTGAATAATAAAAAAGTGATTTGTTGCACACTTTATTCTTTTAATACGCAAAAGGATTCCCCAGTGTCCCATTGAAAGCTGTCCCAAAAGTTAACGGGCATTCAAGTACACTTTCAAGGATGATGGTTGCAGATCAAAGTATTGCGTCACCTGTGCACCATACAGGCAAGTATGGCAGTTTGCCAGCAATGCACTCGCTTTGTATATCCTTGCAACATTCTGGTGGAAGATCTTTTGGTTTTTTCCGAAATCTACAAAGGCAAAGAGTCGACCCATTTTTCCGAAGCCCCATTCCACGGCCCGCCTCACGCTGCTCATTGCCTTGTTAAACGCACAATGCTCCGGTGTCAAAGATGCACCGTCGTAAGGTTTTAACAGAAGTGGCCGCAATAGGTAAGCAGGGTCCCCTTAAAGACAGTAGTGGTGTCCCTGCACCAGCTTTTCCAGTTTAGTGTACATCTGGCTGTTGCCAAAGTTACCTGAAAAAATTGAAATGAGATACTGCGTTAGCACCACTACGCCTGCTGATCAAACATTGGGTGCAGGTGTGGTAGAGATTATAAAAGTAGCAGCAGAATAGGCGAGATGCCCTAGCAGGCGTTTGCTTATTTTACAAAATTTATTTTTTTATTCTTGCAAGATCGATGTTCAACAGGGAGGAAGTAGTAAAGCTATATATAAAATTTAAAACAGAGAAGTCCATTATGGCAACACCAAAGAATACAGAAAACAGCATTGTTCACACATAAGTGAACCTAAGGCATGCTATTTCAATACAGTGGTAAGTCATTCGAAGCAGAGGGAAAACAAACTACAATCAATGACAGCATATATATATATAGCACTTAATGAGAGACGCAAAAGTATAATAAAGGTGTTAATTTCAGACAAAGTTCACGCGTCAGCGCAACCTTTTCCTTGCCACGTCTTCTTGAATAGCCTACTCTAGCCTTACTTAGTTCAGCTAAATTCCTGAGGCTGGCTATAGTATTTCTTATTTTCGACATGAATACCACACTAAGGCAAAATTCATGATGGTTTTGTGCTTTGGTCACTTTATAGTGACTAATTTAAGCTGCAGTCGAATTGCGCTGTGAGATTTTATATGCATGTCTGAGGTACCTTTCTTGGATTAAGTGAATGCCACTCAACCTGGTGTGCTCCAACCTAGGTAACAATGATCTAATGTGAGTTTGACTGAGCTGTAAGTCAGCACCAGGCATATGAACTACCCTTTACTCACCAGCATCGTGCTTGCTCCCGGATAACATCCATCCAACTGACAAATGATGCCATTTAGGCACATTATGGATTGGTACTTCAGGGCATGAAATCTTTTGTGCCTGCTGAAATACAGCTGCTGCTGCCTAGTTGGTTGGCATATAGCACGCGCAGTGCCATCAATGCAGCCCCAGAAGTTGGTAAGTGGGGCTCCCTTAGCATAAATGGCCGGAAAAACAAACGCAGAAAAGTCAACAGGTATACCACAATCTCCAATTTGCACAAATGCAGCTTCCATTCTACTGTCATTGCTCCTTACCTTCGAGAAATTCTCCAGCGTGTCAATAATCAGCCAGCTGTGATGATTCACATCGTCCAGCAAGTGGAAAAATTCTCATCGATGTGCCTCAAGACCTCTATCGTCAGGGACGATATTGTCGACCTGTGTCGGCCGAAGAAGTTCTCGAGGTCTTTAAGTCGGTTCGGATAGGTTAGCCGTCGAAGAGTAATGCAGAGAGTTCATCTCCTGGGATCGGCACACTCTGAGCAGTAATAACCGTTTCTGTATTGCGCAAAGCTACTCGTACCTTCACTATGTCCTCTTTCTCAAAACGAAAACAAGTTCAGAACATGCCGTTGTTCATAGCGTCAATCTTGAGCAGGCCACGGGAGGAAAGTGGTTCACGGAGAGCCTCCCCTTGCACCTCTAGTGCTACTAGATCTTCTATCTCCGACCATTTGAGTTGAGAGAGAAGCAAAGGGTCTTGCAATACGCTTCGCGGCATAGCGCCATTAGCAACGAATTGCAAAACACTGCAACAACGGTTCCGCTAAAAACACACCCACTCGATTGCTTGGCTTGGCTTCACCTGCAACCTTTCCGCGCCGACTTTTTTATTCCAACGTAGAACAGTTCGTCATGCATTCAAACCACTGCGAAAATCAAGTCATGCAAAAAAACGAAAATTTATGTCCGCCTAACGCCCGCTACGTAATAAAAATTCCTTTCGTAATATTCTTTTCGCAGTAAATTCAACTTCATTCGGCAGGTGACGCAGCGAAGACTCTGCTGAGTTCAGTTCAGGCTGTCAAGGTGGATGGACGTGTTTTTTGAGCGCTCCGGATCGACTGCGCAGATAAGTGTTTTCGCACCTTTTGAGTTTGTCTTTATAATTATAAGGCAGCGGTTGAAATATTCGTAGCACTTATTTTATGGTACGGCTTTTTCGGGGGCCAGTCACCAGGTATTTATTAGTTAGTGTGGGTGTGTGTGTTTGAAATTTTTTTTTTGGTTGCTGTTTTTTTTGCCACCCCGTGGGGGAGGTGCGCGTACATTGAAAACGCAAATTTTTGTAGTAGAGCTTAAACTTTCTTTTTTTTCTCGTAGTGCAGGGCTCGAATTTAGTAATTATCGAGTATAGGGACAATTGGTGTCACAAAGGCATAGTTAAAAAGACTGTAAAGTGTTCAGGATGTGGAGTGGGTTTGAAAGTGGACCCAAGCGTAGAAGCAGATGGAGAAGAGGCTGACGCGAAGTGTAGGCAATGTGAGGTCGAGGAAAAAATGGAGAAAATGATCGTTGCCCAGAGTGAACTGCTGATGAGAATCGCCGAGCTTGAGTCTGCGTTGGCGACAGAGCAAGAGAAAACGAGGGCAATGGGAGAAACACTGAAGTCCGCCGAGGAAGTGCTAGCGAAGCTGAACAAAGAAGCGACCTACCGAGAGAACAGTAGGAAACCGGCAACCAGAACGGTGGAGAAGGAAAAGCTAGCAAGTTTGGAAAAAACAGGTTTAGTCGGTTCAACTGTCGCAAGGCCCAGCTTCAGCGAGGTAGTGGTGGGGCTGGGAGGGAACAAAGCAGCCGGCGTCACAGGTGCAAGTAGCCCCCAGGTGCAGGACGCTCCAGCTGAAAAGTCACAGCATGTGATAATTGCCGGGGACTCGAATTTAAATCGATGCACAGAAGCCATCAAAGAGAGGGTAAGAGGTGACAAGAGGGTTGTAGTAGGGGCGTTCCCAGGACGCAAGCTGGAAGCAGTCATGAGGCAAGCGAGCGCGAAACTCAAAACTACAGCTGATAGACGAAACCTCGTGATAATTTCAGGCGGTTTAAACGATGTCCTAAATGAAGATGCAGCAGGACTAGCAGCCACACTGGCGAAAGGCGTCGATGACATGCGCGCCACTTCTCCTAAGGTACAGGTAGTGATATGCACGATGCGTACCGGTGCGTGATAGCAACCTGCAAAGAGCGGTTGTCAACGCAAACCAAGAGATATGGCGGATGAGTCGAGAGAAAGGCTTTGAGGTGGTGGAAATAAAGAGAGGTGCATAGGTGGGGTGGTTTTCAACGAGACAGAATTCACTTCGATGGGCGACTAGGTCATGAGGTGGGTTGGCGCTTAGCAGGACGCGCAGTAGTTTTTTTGGGGGGCAAGCGAGCCCTTCGGGGTGCAGGATAGCTAATAACGGGGAAAACAACCAGGGAGACTCTTCGACAGGTTGTATGGACAGAGACGATTCCAAAGTGGCACCAATAACTAAGATAGGTAGAGTGCGGGGCATAAATAGACGTAGCCACGAGCGCCGAGCCAATTCAGACATAGGGTATATTAACATGCAGGGTGGTAGAAACAGGCTGAAGTGGGAAGAGATAGAGGAACAGCTAAGGGAAGAGAGGCCGATGGTATACGGTTTTGTAGAAACACATCTCAGGGACATGGAACAACCTCCGAACAATCCGGACTACGCGTGGGAATATTGTAATAGAACAGAAGGCAGCAGAAAGGGGGGTGGTATTGGGGCATTCATTCATAAAAGTACAGACTGGCAAAGGGTCAAGCAGGAGTGCAAGGAACATTTATGGCTAAAAGGGGAAGTGGCAGGTCAAATGACACTTCTTGGTTTCGTGTACTTGTGGACGGGAGCAAAGGCCAGAGAGGAAAACCAGGCAATGGTAGAGTGTATATCAAAGGACATTCAGGAGTTAGGAAGAGAGTGCGACATAATTATACTAGGAGACATGAATGCGCACATAGAAGATATAGATGGGTATACCGACCCGACAGGCAAAATGATCATGGATATGTGTGAAAGGCTTGATTTGATCATTTGCAACAGTACCGAGAACTGTGAAGGGCAAATAACATGGGATGTAGAAAGGCTTCAGTCGGCGATAGATTATGCACTGATGTCACATAGGATGTATGATAAGCTCAGGGGAATGCACATAGATGAAGGTGGCTCCAGAAGTCTGGGTAGCGATCACAAACGTATCAAGCTAAGTTTTGGAAGAGCAGTGAAAGTGGGAAGGAGACAAGATGAGCAACTACAGGAAAATTTTTATCCAGAAAGGCAAATTGAAATAGCCACTAAACATATTGAGAAAGTAATCACGGAGGATAATAAGACAGTGTGGACATACACGAATCTAATTAGACTGTTTGAGCTAGAGCTTGCTAAGACGCGTGGCATATCACCCCGGAAAAGAAGACACAAACCCAAAAGTTGGTGGGATGAGGAAATTAAGAGAGCCATAGCAAAACGTCAGGAAGCCTCTAGGGAACATAGACATGCTAAACAGCGGGGTGAACCGACAGATGATGTTGAAAGACAATGGGCAACCTTTCTAAGCTGTAGAAGGGATGCATTCCTTCTGATCAATGAAAAGATTAGAAGGAAGAAAGCTCAGTGGCTGGCAGAAGTACATAAAAAAGATAGAAAGACAGCTGCGAAATTTTGGAACCATTTAAACTCCCTAAGAAATGAGACGAGCCTAGAGCAGAGTTTTATAACTACAGCCCAAGGTG